ACTTGAGACTAGTGTGCTGAGTTCGGAACATCCCGAAGCAGGTGATGCAGTATAGCTGCTTATCTTGCAAGTCCAAGTGTCTATCAAGTATATTTGGGGCTTGAAATTAGCCACAGAATTACACAGTGGATTTTGATGTTTAACTCCCATATAGGACTACCCCCCTGGGGGACCCCTGGTGGTCTAGTGGTTAGGATGCAGCACTCTCACTACTGCGGCCCGGGTTTGATTCCCGGTCAGGGAAACTCCCCCGGGCAGATGGAGCTCGTCAGCCCTGTAAGGCCATCCATCTAAGAGAAGGTCACTCTAAACAAACCTACATCCTGAGGACCTCACTGCCACTGTCCAAGTTTGCTCGGCCCCAGCAGAGGAACCTTAGGATTAAAGGGTGGGCTCAGCTCAGCGCACACTGTGTCTCACCTAAAAAATCCACTGCGCAGGCTCGAAGGGTAAAGACCTTTCCCAAATCTTCATTCGCGAAGACTGACCATACACAGGAGTACCCCCCAAAAATACATGTCTTGTATTAAGATACATATTTTCTTAATCAACCAAGATTCAAAGGGATCTTCAGGTCTAATAGTACAATTGATTACCTTTGCACACTGGAATAAGTGTGAATGGGTTTGTTGAAGATGTATGTACACCTAAAATAGGGTTCTGTCTTGACTACATACACATACAGTTGGAGGAATTTATAGGTAATGTTCTTGTCCCACTGGGTAATTCTATACATTATGAAAAATTAACCTTTAGCGCACATATGATGCTTTGTTGTCTTAATGGGTAGTAGGTGTGAAAAAGATTCAAGGACTCCCTAAAACAACATCTCAACCTTGGCCATATTGATCACCATAACTGGTCTACTCTGGCCTCAAATCGGGAGGCCTGGAGACACACCATCTATAACGCTGCGGATGCCTTTGAGAACACACGCAGGATCACTCTCGAGGAGAAAAGGCAATGCAGGAAGAACCGTGTCTTGCGGAATACACTATCTAAGGATTCTTTCTGTTGTGCCTTTTGCAATCGGATATGTCTGTCACGTATTGGCCTCATAAGTCACCAACGTGCCTGTAACAAATGTGGATAAAGCCTTCCCAAATCTTCGTTCGCAAAGCCCAGCCATGATGACAGTAGGTGTGAGGTATTCCACAATACTGTGCCTGTTGGATATGGGCCCAATATGTCATTTTTAGCATACAAAGTTTTTATACAAAATACAAAAAGCTCTCATACAAAAGGTTTTCATGCAATCACATACACAAAACAAAAACTGTGGCTTTACTGTTGGTGGAGTTATAAGTTAAATCAATTCCTTTTCAAATTTAGTTGTCAAATCAATTCCTTTTCAAATTTAGTTGTTGCTTTTCCCCTTTTTTTTCCAGTGGGCAAATTGCTCTTATCACATTTTTTTACAATTACTGCTACAGTAAGTTGCACCCAAAACTTAGAAGTATGTGTGGTGTAGAATGTACTATAGTTACCATATAGATTAGCATAGATAAAAGAAGTGATGTAAAGTTAAAAATCATCTTAGGACACATGGTAGGAAACTTAATAGTACATCAAACACGTTTAAGTGAGAATGCAAGTATTTCCAAAAATGGTTACAGGTCTTGATAGCTGGTAGAAGGCTTTCCTGTATTTTATCCATGTCCTGTTTGCAGTCCATAGTTACCTCTCCTTTTGGTTTAGGAAGGGAGACTCAATCATTTCACCTGTATTATTTTCTTTTGTTTTGTTAAGATTATTTAGTTCACTCATTAATATCACTGAAAAATTTAACCAAATCATCTTAATAAATCCAAAGCCTCCTGAAGAACTGGAAAGATTAATACATATTTGTATAATTTAAAATATGCACAAATTCTTGTACCAACTCCCAAGTCAAATTTGGTTGAATTTTTAAATTCTTAATTATTTGAAATAAAATTATGCATCCATAAGGGTAAAAGCTTTTTCCATACTGCACTTTTTTTAGTAAAAAGACAAAACAAACTTAGTAAAATTTAAACCAACAATACATAAAATAGTTTGTCTTATATAATCCTGTTAATAGTTGGTCTTCCAACAAGTTGCTCTCAATGAAAACACAAATGAATTATAAGAATTAATAAACTGATAATACAAGCAATTATGGGGACAGTTAAAAGTTCAAGTGGTTTCAGGCAGCTCCTATTCATCTGTTAGCAGGTTCCTATAAAAAGAAAAGTGAAAATTCGGCCTATTATAAACTAATCATTAAAAAAAAATTGTATACCACAAAAGTTAAAAGAAAAATGATTATTGCATCTTCTTGGGTGTCTGAGAGCCTTCTCAAGTAAAAGTCTGCTGGTAGCCCCTCCACTTAAACTATTTCCTTTGCTCTTCACTGAGGTGGGGGGGGAGTGCTGGCATTCCTAGAAAAGATAACAACACAAGCCTCAGAGGGGTTTCTCTGGCAAGGTAACCCCTAGTGATTCAAATTGTTTAACAACTCGGATTTTATATTTCTTGGGTGGAAATTCAATTTTTATTTTATTAAGTGCTTGTTGCACTCTTGTTACTTCTCCTCCGGAAATTAAACAGACAGCTGAAGCAATTAATCACTTTTTACAAGAACAGAACAGAAACATAGACGAAAGTAAATTATGGGACTTATTATATTGGATTTCCATGCATGAACCTGAAGTTCCTTTAACTGGAACTCACCAAGTATTATCTTGGAGAAAAATAGGGAGTAGACTAATTGAAAAAGCCAGTGAAGAAATATGGGCGCTCTCAAGAACGTCTGAGTTCGCGGCACAACCACGTGCTGCGTTTGCCGCCCCCCCACGCCCGCAGCTGTTGGGTTTCCCGCCACTGCGGCCTCAGCCGCTGTGGCGACAGGGCTGCTGTCGGCTGGAACCGCCATGGAGCCCCGTACTGGATGGTACGGGGCTGCTGGAGTGGCTGCGGCGGCTGTACAGCCAGCCATGCCGATGTTCACCGGGACCGCCACCGCCGCCGGAGCGCGGGTGCCACAGCGACATGTGGTATGGGGAAAAATGGCCCAGGGTCGGCGACTGGGGCTTTGGTCGTGGTGTTCGCACAACCACAAAGACACCACCGTGTTACGCCCGCCAAGGAGTCAACCCACAGCCGCCGCTGGCCTCGGAGCAAATGCAACCACCGCCAAACTCAGAGCACCCTGATGGAGGAAGAAGAGGAGAACTTAACTCCCCAGAGATCCTGGTCAAGTTGTGGCAGCTCCGGCTTGACGGGACAGGAAAACTGACAGAAGGACAGGCAGTTTTAATTCCTGCAGAAGAAGAGCAGCAGACATGGCTACAGGTACTGCTTCAACCCGAGGAGGAGAATATAGACTGGGAGAGTGCATGGAACAACATATGCCTGCCTGAGCCGAGACTATCAGTTAAGTCAAAGCTGCAGATGCTAAGGTAGACAGTATGTATACTGGCTACGCTATCAATGCTAGCAGCCCTTGGTTTTGTGCTGCGGGAATCTCAGCTGGAACATCACAAACAACCCACCAACACAGCTAGCAATCCAAAGGTAATACTGCAAAGCACAGCAGACATACAGTTATCAGCTGCTATATTTAACTTTCTAAGTCACAAAAAGGCAACCTTACTAATTGGCAATTTATCTGCTATTTTAAAAGGTTCTTTTGTGTTGCTGGGGGGAAGGATGGACATGCTGAGAGGGGCCCTAAATCAAGTGTTTACTTCTCAAAATCTTAAAATGCTGTTTCACGTAATAGGAATTGATATGCAATACACAACATGGGAAACCAAACCAAAACAAGTAGCAAAGAAACAACCAGTTACAATTTCAGCTGCAGAAACACATAACCCTTTGCACACAGTTACTGCAAAAGCTTTGATAAAGCAAAGCAAACAAGTCCCTCACAATACAAGCCCAAAGATGCCCTACTGGGCTGCAACAAATGACACAGATAAAAATACACACCTCTAAACCCATTCAGGACACAAACATGCATAAATTTGCCTTTACCCTAATTAAACAGTTAGAACAAGAGGTAAAAACAGAAACATCAAACATTTTTAACAGTAGAACAGATGTAACAATCACATCTGTCTCACAATGGCCCTTAAAAAACATCCAAATGTGTTTAGCAAGTTGTGATGGTTTCACTCTAGGCCTTCCTGGAGACCAACTTGTAACCAGGAAGGAACTAGGAAGGTGATCACGGAAGTATTCCATGCTATTCCTTTACGTAAATGGAGGTATAAATAAAGCCAGCAGGAGGGACCTCGCTCTCTTCCTTTCCGGCAAGGTTCGAGAACGGTGGGTCCCTGTCTCGGTCTGGCTTATCTGGAGTTGAGGCCTACAGCGACTGCTGTTATCTGCCACGTGTGAGGGGAGAGTGCTGGGCCGTGTCTAACCATCCTCCTTGTTCAAAGGGAAGTGGTGAGATTTTGCTAATTTACCTTCAGTTGGCTGGTTGCTGAGTTTTAGATTGTGTAGACTTGTTTGGTCTTAGTCCCTTGTTGTCCTTTTCCCTTCTCCCTTCCCCTCTCCCCTTTTGGGGAACTATTTAGGATTTCTATTGTGGTGTATAGTATTCTCATTGTATATATCTGTCTCATATGAAAAATATATATATATATTTTTGCTATAGCTTTGGCTGCTTAGGTCGGTTTTTTTCTTCCCTCTCTGGGAAGCAGGTCTTAGTTGTTGGGTTTCGGGGACTTGGCGGGAAGCCAGCTCGAAACTTGTACAACAAACCATGACACAAGTATTCTTAAACTAGCATCCCTGAAGCAAAACAGAGACATCATAACCAGCAATAGCTCAGACATTAACTCTGTGTAGTGGTTTGAACCAGGTTTTCCCCCTGAAGCTAAGAAAGTGGTAACCCCCAGGGGGTGGTGGCACTTGAGATTTGAACCAATCTGCTTTCCTGCAAAATATAAACATACCACAAGCAGACCGGAAGAGAAAGTTGTAGTTTGGGGTTGTAGAAGTGGTAGCCATGTTGTAGGAGCCACGAGGAGAAACAGTATCAGCAGCCCACTGGGGGTTGGGCCCCCCCAGCCCCAGTGGGGGGCTGCGGGGACCTGGAACAGCATAAAGTTGGGCTAGGTGCCTGCAGCTGGAAGCTAAATAAGTTTTCTCCACCGTGAGTGAGCGAGCAGAGACAGAGCAGCAGCAGAAGCAGCGGCAGCGTCCAGAGACTATGGCTAAAAACCAACAGATAAGAACTGAACTGTAGAAGCAGTAAAACATCATGCAGTCAAGGAAGATACAAAGTTGTCTGAGGAGAGAGCAGCAGAGAGAGAGTTTTGGGGGTAAGAACTGAACCAGACCCCCCAAACTCCTTGGAAACCCCTCACGTCCTAGAAGGGAGGGGTGAAGTGCGACATGCACTGCAGAGAAGAGCTAAGAAGCTCAGTCGTCCTGAGAGCTCAACCAGGACAAAATGTGTGGGAGATGGACCTCCCTCGCTGCAACTATAGAGAAGCTAGCAACTTGGACTACAAGGAGTTTGAATCTCCTGAAGATACCAGACCATCACAGAGACTCCTGTGCTTCGTGGTATGACTGTGGTGGAACGACCTCTGTCTGGGGTGAATGTAGCCCACGGAAGACCCCTTTGCCTGCATTGAGGGGCCGCGAGGGGCTTGGAGGCCTCCCTCGTGTGTGCTGGCAGAGATCCAGCTCCAACTACTGCATAGAAGACACAGAGAGACCTGCTGCCTTAGAGACATTGCTGCTCTGAAGAAGAGATCTGTCCTTCTTCCCTCCTGGGCTTTTATTTGGAGACGAGAAGAGATCTGATCCATTGTAAATACTTATGTCATGGTAGAGATAGCTAAGATTGTATATAATGTATTGTAGTATTTATTTGTACAGTCATTGTAATATATTCCCTTTCCCCCCATTTTGAGTCTGGTGTGTTTGTCTGGAAAAAACCCATCTCACACTGGGTTGAGATGTGGGAAGGGGAATGGAGCTAGGGAATTGGATTTTGGGGTTCTCAAACCATGACACTGTTTCCATTAGACCCATTGAAATCACTCATTATGTAGAGCAGAGACTGCTTCAGTCAAGGGGAGAGTCAATTAACAGCAGATTCTTCCTAAAAGCAACTCTATTGCAGCTAAATCCACAGGCAACCCAAGAAACAGATAGTCCTAAATCAGTGAAACAGTGGCCTTTCCTTAGGAAAGAGCTGATGCATTTACATACACTACTAGAGGACCATATAAACACAGCCCCCCTATTAACAAAAAGCCTTTCTCTAATCTATCAGTCTCTCAAAGCTAAAGAAAGATGGATTTTCATACTTTTTACCCCTGTCTCAGAGTGGGAAAAGATTGGAGTTTTCAAAAACTGAGATTTTACAACTTACTTTTTAGTTAAAGAAAAAGGTAAAAAACACTTCTTGCATAATTGCCTTTGCAAAGAAAGAGATAATATGTTACCCCTCAAACATGATAACAATAATTTACTGCTTAGCAACTGGGTGGAGTTAGATTTTATCATCTCCTACCCTATCCCTGTTCCTATAAAAACTTTCCTACTAACTTTTTGGCTAGACAAACAGGTGGTTTGCTTTTTGGTGAGGGGGACAGCAAACAAACCCCTCTCATCCCTCACTCAGAATCTCCCTTCCTACATAATATGGGAGAAGGAAAGCAAAACATAGCAAACTGAAACTTTATCAACTGTTCACTCACACCACTGTGAGGGAGAAAAATTTTCTTTGTTGTCTAAAAGCCCTTACAAATGCCTTTCACTATGTAAATTGGTCTCATTGTTAACTAAGAATGTTTATCTCCACAAAACCAGAACACTGAAGCTTTAGGGTTTTTCCTATTTTTTCATTAGTTTCCCAGTGACTTTATTTGAATTGTTAAAGATAAAAGTTGTAAGAAGTTGTTAAAGTTATTAGATTCTCAAATACATCCACATACATGCAATTATTGCAACAATGTTATTCAAATAACAAGTTTAGAATCCTAAACATCCTCACTGATTGTTAGTTATTACATTCAAGCATTCTCAAAATATTTGTTATCATAGGAAAGTGTACACAATGTCAGCAAAAATAGCAAAAATACTAAATCCCAACTGCCTAAAGAAACTAAATTAAAACTGACTATGATTGCCCTAACCAATATCATTCAAGAAATGGGACTGCAAAGCACTCCAGAAAAAAATCAACAGACCCAACCATAGAACAAATCTTGGATAGAAAGAGGACTACACAGCAAAGGATCATCCCTTAATCTTCAACTTTGAAATAAATGACATTATAACACAAAATGACCTGCTGCAATTGCTTCAAACTATCCACCAACTTTAACCAGTCCTAGACATAACTACAGAAAAACTGCAGATTCACAACTATTCCAGCCCATTTTCCATCTAAAACTGACTGAACTATTATTAATGTTTGCTATGATTGTTTTTAAAGATAAAGAACAACTACAAGAAATAAATGAACAGGACACCGAAACCATCTGCATCTGGACAAACAAAAGAGGACTGCTGTGACATGAATAAATCCTGTCACAGGACAATGGAACAATAAGGTACAGACCTTGGACCAAGGTTCTGTACAAGTTTTAGAACCTACTCCTATCCGTATGATACTTAAGTTGTTTTGTAGTTAACCTATGAATGTTATAACTGATTCACGCTATGCTATAGAGTTACTTTCACATTTTGAAGCCTCCTTCCTTCGAGATTTCACTAATCCTCATTTACTTGTAAAAATACACACCATATAATTCCTTGTTAGTCACACAAAATCTAAGTTTTACATAATGCACATCCATTCACACACATTCCAAATACAGTAATGCAACAACACACACTAGAAAAAGGTAAAAGATATTATCAGACGCTAGCTTAATTGTTTTGCAAATTTAGAAATTCCAGAAACCATAAACACAAACAATGATCCTGTATATTATTCAACAAAAGCTAAAACACATCTCACAAATCAGAAGATATTCCATTCCACAACATACTGCACTCACTCGCAAGGTTAATAATAGTAAAAAACACATCACACAGTCAGAAACATACTATAACACCAATAAAAAAGGGAGGAAGGAGATTTATGGGTCTGTCTCTATATGTGTAAATCTACATTAACACTTCTTCAAAACAGGAACCATCACAAAGAAACAATAATTGATAAAACAAAACCAGAAAAAACACTCTAACTAACAAACACTACAAAACCAAAACTCCGTGATTTAAATGGAGACACAATAAAAGGTTCAAATATGCATGTGTGAGGAGAGAATGAGACAGTGGTCACCGTGGTGTGAATGAGAATAGTTGCGTGGAGATATGCATGTGTGTGAACTCAAACACACTGTATGACAAAGATGCATTAAACAAACATACAAATACTACCTCAATCACAAGCAACACAACATCCACAACCTAACACATTTCCCTTCCAAATAAAGATGATGCCTTTACCCAATCACACAAAAATCACCCTCAGATAAAAGGTCTTACATATCTATAAACCCTGGGTAATTTAAGGTTGCTTGGAATATTGCACAAACCAACAGTTATCAACAGTTCAATAAAGGCCTGTGCTGGTTTAAAAGTTAACCAGCAGGGGAAATGAACTTAACTCAAAAGAGAGATTGTAAGTCAGAATAACAATTTAATAAAATAATACAATAAGCACAACTACACAGACAAGCAATTGGTATCAACCCACAAAACCCAAATGTACAACCTGGCACCCCAGGGCACAAACACAACAGTGCTCCCTGGGCCCCCCCCTGAGTCCAAAGCAAAGGGAGAGGGGAAAAACCTGCTGGTGGGAGAGCTGCTGCAGTCCAGCTAAAAATGGTGATTGTAGTCCAGCCGAGGGTGGTGGTTGAACTGCAGTCCTCCTCTGGGTCCCACGAGTGGAGAGCAAGGTTCTGAAACTCCAGGTTTATATATTCTCCAGCTCAGGCAGCAATGCTTAGCCCCTCCCCCAGAGTGGGGAATTCCATAAAAGGATGTTCAGTCTTTCCCTTAGAGTGGGGAATTCCATAAAAGGATGTGAGGGTGCTCAGTCAGGGAATTCCACAAAAGGGCATGAGGACAGGAGCATGGGGGGGGGGGGCACCTCGCAGGCCTCTACTGACAACAGTTTCTGGGAAATGGCATGGAGGGCTATAGAATACACAGTTTTGGGCTACACCCATCCAATGATGAATCGGTCCCAGTTGTTCTAACTAGGACAAGGCCTTATCACGATAGGTCCTGGTTTTTATAAGTGGTTAAGATAAGATTGATTATGATAAAAAATGTTTAAGAAGTGTACTGTTTTACAACTTGTTAATTATATAAGGAAAGGGGAGTTGTAACAGCTCATGTTTCAAGAAGAATCTAGCAAAGGTTTTTGGGACTTGTAGTTTTCCGGGTTCTAACACATGCTCAATGAAATACTAAAATGTCATTGGTTGAAAGATCATGTGACATGATTTAAACACTGTATTTAAACTGATGTCGTTTGTAATAAAGTTTAATTCTGCTCTCGCACTCCTTGGTGTGAGTAGTGGGGTTCACGCAACAACAAGCACCTCAGAGCAGCAGTCTACAGTCATTAATGCTGTTAATATCTTCCATATCTGCTGCTTGTAAGGGGTCAGAACAAATCTCTCCACTGGCTCTCTCCTCTGTCCTGTTTTTGGACCCCATGTCCAAAATCCTCATCATCTTGTCAGTCTGTCATGCAATCTATTTTATCCTCCAGCTGAAATAGAAAATGAAATAAAATTTAACTATTTAGCTATGTAAGTGTGACTTTGCAAAACGTAAAACTGCTTAAAAGTTTCTGCCCAAACTGTGGGCAATTAAGATAAAATAGCTTAGAGAATAGGGAAAGCCTTTTTAGCACGTAGAGAGGGGTGGGGAACCTGAAACTGCTTGAAATGATAAAACTTTATGTAACTACTCTATAATGGTAAGAAGAGGAGGTAAAACCAAGTGTCTATTTAGATAAGGCAGACTGCAAAAAGAGTGTGTGCATAGATAATTTTAAACTTGCTACTTTCAAACTGTATAAAAAGCTATGGTATTCCTTTGCTCAGTGGAGTGCACTGGGGAAAACACCTGCCCCTTTGCATTCCCCGGTCGTAATAAAAGTACTTTTCAGATTATTCAAAGGTTTCTTTGAATCAATTTGGCACCCCAGATGGGACCAGATCTCTGCTCACTGGTGAGGACCCTCCGGAACCAGGGACCCTCTGCGTGCCCTGGGACGTTACTCTGGTGAGGCTCCCCGGGCTCCGCTGGATCATCACGGGAGTAGATGAAGATCCTGTGAGCAGGTATACAAATTCTAAAGCACTCTTTTATTTTTCCCTAGGGTTTTGGGAAGGAAATCGTAAGTGGTACGGTGGTTTTTAGGGCTCTAAGCTTGCTAGCAGCTAACAAGAGCAACACCCTTTTAATAGTAGGTTTGAGTCCTACCGGGAGGATGCATAGGCTTTGATTGTGAGTTAAAGTCTCACCAAAGCTATACCAAATTTCTCAGTCTAAGAGGATTTGGAAAAAGGTACAGATGTTTTTGGGTTTACCATTGTGGCTAGATTTTGGACTTGGTTTTGGAATTGCGATCATTATAAGTTTGGTAATATATTATATCTGGGTTTGTTTTAAACCATCTGTCTGTGTTCCATGTGTTTGCTGAATTGTATTGTCTGCTTTTATCTGTGAGTATTGTCTCTTATGTCATAAAATTACTACTGCATGTTAAGTAAGCAAATATTGGGAAATTATATTTGTTTTCATATTTGTTACTGGTTTTCTCCTTACCATGGCAAAAAGACTACCTTCATGTGTTTACGGGAGATAGTGGTTTTGTGGTTTTATGGTTTTAGGCAGGACCTTAACACTCATTGTTTGCAGAAATTAAGCCAGGAAGTTTGCTGGCCCGTTGCAGATACCACAAACTCCAGGGCTGACAATCTCTGAAAGTGCAAAACCGTATCTTTGCTCAATTTGTAAAAATTGTTCACCTTATACTTGTAATCTGTGTTAAATGTTGGCAATTTTGACGTGTTAACCTGAAATTAGGGGCAAGATTGGCATTAGGAGATTTTAACATTAGAGTGGTTAAATTTAGATACGTTTTTTTATACAGTATCTAAGAGAGAGTAATGAAATCTGCAAGTAAAATAAAGCAAAAAAAAATTAATATCTAGACTGTGAGATTGCTACCTTGTATCAATAAGTGTGGAGTGTGGTTATTTTGTGGACACCTGAGAAAAGAGTTTTTTATTGCCAGATTGAAGATTGCTACCGGACAGCTAACAGGGTTGACTCAGAACTTTCCTGCTTCAAAGTTGATGCTGTGTGTATGGTATGTTGAAAGTGTACAACTGAAATTTGCAGATAACCACGAAGTGAGTGAAGCTTGAGTTTGCGTCTTTGTTATTGTGCAAAGGGCACGACTAGAAGCAGGTCAAAGTAAAAACTAGAAATGAGAAACCAGCAGGGAAGGGGTAGAAAGACAGAAATTAGGTAAAACTATCACAAAGGCAACCATCACCGCCCTAGATAAAAGAGACCATCACTCCAGGAAACCTGGACGGTACCCTGGAAATAGTGACCATCAGAAGTTGAGACCAAACCAATGTGCAATTTGTAAACAAAATGGACATTGGAAAAGAGAATGCCCTCAAAGGAAGCAAAAACCTATTTTAATGGCAGAATTGGACCAGGATTAACAGGGACCGAGGAGTTTGCCCCCAGGGACCCCTTGGTTATAATGGAACTGGGGAAAAATAAACATAAAATAGAATTTTTAGTAGATACTGGAACAACATTCTCTGTGTTAAAACAGGAATTAAGCATTATAGATGGTGTATCTTTGAATGTGATAGGAGACACTGGTCAAGTTGAAAAAGTATCTTTTATGAAACCACTAAATTTTAAATTAGGAAAGACTTTAGGTAGACATAAATTCCTTTATATGCCTCATGCACCTAAATCACTTTTGGGAAGGGATCTATTAGAAAAATTGAATGCAGAAATTATGTTCAAAAATGGAGATATACAAATTAAAGTAAAAGAAAACGAATTAATCGAAATTTTAAGTCTTGCTCTAATCCAGCCACAGATATCAGGAGAAGTACCATCAGCAATCTATGACCAAATCTACCCTGGGGTTTGGGTTGAGAGGACCCCAGGAAGAGCCAGACACACTCAACCTGTAACAGTAAGACTAAAACCTGGGACACGGTCGGTACGAATTAAACAATATCCTCTCAAACTAGAAGATAGAAAAGGAATTAAAGAAATAATTGACAATTTTATCAAATTTGGTTTACTAATTGAATGTAAATCAGAATTTAACAGACCTATTTTGCCAGTCCGTAAAACAGATGGCAAGAGCTATTGGCTAGTTCAAGACCTCAGGGTTATTAATAAAATTGTTGAAGAGCTCCACCCAGTGGTAGCTAACCCATATACACTTCTAACTAAACTAAAAAATGAATATGTCTGGTTTTCTGTTTTAGATCTAAAAGATACCTTTTTCTGCTTGCCTTTGGACCCTAAAAGTCAAAAATTTTTTGCCTTTGAATGAGAAAACCCGGATACAAGATGATCACAGTTCACATGGACTGTTCTTCCACAAGGATATAAAAATAGTCCAACAATTTTTTAGGGACCAGCTTGCCAAAGATCTTAAAGAATGGACTGCACCTTGAGACAGCGGAGTCCTCTTGCAGTATGTAGACGATTTATTAATTGCAACCAAGACACAGGAGGAATGTGAAAGCTGGACTGTGAGCTTATTAAACTTTCTGGGGCTGAAAGGGTATAAAGTATCTAAAAATAAAGCCCAGATTGTCAAGAAAGAAGTTACTTATCTAGGATATGAAATCTCAGGAAGACAACGTCAACTTGGACCAGAAAGAAAAGAAGCTATCTGTAAAATTGTGCCAGTAAATCTGCAGTATATGAGAAAACTGTGGTTTAAACATGTTTCAAAATGGTTTTTTTGTAGTCTCTTTGCTAACTCATGTTTTCTTCTTCCCAAGACCCCCCACAACAAGTGTTATCCCATGCAGGAATGTCCTGGGAAGATGTCCTAAGGTGTTCTCATTGGACCTTGTTAACCCCTTCCTGTGATTGGGTGTTCCTGTAAGCCCCTTGAGACTTCTAATTGGTTACTCTGTGAGTCCTTCTAACCCTATAAATGTAACCCCCCCAACAATAAATGCTCTCTTGCCTCCTCTCCACGCCGGTGTGCTGTCTCTGTGCCTGCCATGGAGCCACGTGGGTGGGGAGAAGGGAGAGCACCTCTCCCCTCCAGGTTCAGGACCTGAAGAAACCCCTGGTGCTGGAGTCCCCCCTCCCTATCCACATTAAGCCGTCGGAAATGGTTCCTCAGATGGAAATGGAACTAGAACTGGGCCCCCCCACGCCATGGGGGGAAAGAGATCCAGATAAAATACCTTTGCCCCAGACTCCGAAAGAGCTCTGCACATTTTTGAAGATGACTGGCTAGTATAAGCTTTGGATCTACAAATATGGACTAATAGTCAAACCTCTATACCAGATTCTACAAGATGGAGATCAACAATTAGCATGGACTGGAGAAGCTAAGCAAGCCTTCCATTGGCTTAAGAAGGAACTGATGCAGGCACCTGCACTGGGCCTCCCAGATGTAACTAAACCTTTTTTGCTCTTCTTGCATGAAAGACAAGGAATTGCACTAGAGGTCCTGGCCCAGCAAGTCGGACAATATCGCCGAGTAGTGACATACTTCTCTAAATAATTAAATGAAGTGAGCAAAGGATGGTCAGGATGTCTGAGGGCCGTAGCTGCAGTAGTCCTGAACATACAAGAAGCCCAAAAGTTCACAATGGGACAGAAAATGACTGTTCTAGTGTCACACGTGGTTTCAGCAGTGCTCGAACAGAAAGGCAGTCACTGGCTCTCACCCTCCAAGTTTCTCAAATACCAAGCCACTCTAGTAGAACAAGATGATGTCGAAATCATCACCACTAACATCGTGAATCCAGCAACATTCTTATCAAGTTCAACAACCACAGGGGAACCGGTGTATCATGGTTGCATTGAAACAATTGAAGCAACATATTCCAGCCGACCGGACTTGAAAGATACACCACTACCTGAGGCAGAAATGTGGTTCACTGACGGAAGCAGCTATATGAAAGATGGAATCCGCAAAGCTGGTTATGCGATAACAACCACAGATCACGTCATTGAAGCACAAGCAATCTCTGTTGGCACCTCTGCACAAAAAGCAGAAATAATAGCCCTTACCAGAACATTGCAACTAAGAGAAGGAAAAGACATTAATATTTGGACAGACTCAAAGAATGCCTTCGGGGTAGTTCATGTTCATGGAGCAGTATGGAAAGAAAGAGGGTTACTCACATCACAAGGAAAACAGATAAAGCACCCGGAAGAAATCTTAAAATTACTTGAAGCTGTCCAGTTACTGAAAAAGCTTGCTATTATGCATTGTAGAGGACATCAAAAAGAGAATACAGACCAAGAAAAAGGCAATCGATTGGCAGATCGAGAGGCGAAAAAGGCAGCAGAAAACGGCCAGGTAGAACTTGCCTCCCTAATTCCTGATGGCAAAATCATAGAGGTA